TTGTTTGATTTTCCCTATGTATCCTTTGTATTTTTTACGTATCATGCTGTTAATTTCAACTGCTTGTATCTGAAAAATGAAAACGGTTACCCCCTTTATTTATTTTATTTTCTGGTGTAATTTTACAAGCAGAATCCATATGCTAAATTAAAAAAAATTCTGTGGAGTAGTTAATTATGTACACTTCGCCTTAAATTTTCTATCAATCAATTACAGTTTTCAAGATAATAGTCAAAACGCAAAAAATTGGGAAATATCGTCACTAAAGGGCAATAACTTCAATATGGTGTTGACTAACAATATCAATCATGTATGATGTTCTCTAATTTGTAGATCTTGTCTTGCTGGTAATTATTGTTCTTAAAGTTTCTTTCTATCTATTATAATTTTCTAGATAATGGACAACTAGAGGCTCTAAAGAGCCTGTGTTGCTCACCTAGGTCTATGTTCATATTCAACAAAGGACACTCTCCAACATTGTAGACTAGTAAAAATTCATGACAAAAATCTCTTTTAATGATGATTGTGGCCAAGTTTGGTTAAATTTGGTCCAGTAGATTCAGAGAAGAAGATTTTTGTAAAAGTTAACGGATGACGACAATGGACAACGGACACAAGTGATGCAAAAAGCTAAGTGAGCTAAAAATGAAAAAAATTGGTAAAATTCGTCGTTTAAGGGCAACAACTCCTAACTCCTTTAAGAAATTGTTTGACAGTTTTGATGTCAATAGAAATTAAATAGATCTCATCATTTAACATTTTTGCCCTTGTCAGATTTTCTCTATCTTTAACAGTTTTCAAGATAATAGCCAACCTAGCATTTACCCCTATGTTCAATTTTAGCCACGTGCACGTCAGCCATGTTGGTCTGCAGGCGGGGTCATCAGGCACATTATTTAAACTAGATACCCTAATGATGATTGTGGCCAAGTTTGGTTCCAATTGGCCTCGTAGTTTTAGAGGAAAAGATTTTTGTAAAAGTTAACAGACGACGACGATGGACAACGAACACAAGTGATGGAAAAAGCTGATTTGGCCCTCTAGGCCAGGTGAGCTAAAAAGGAAACTAGAGGCTCTAAAGAGCCTGTGTCGCTCACCTTGGTCTTTGTGCATATCAATCAAAGGACACTCTCAAACATTGTAAACGAGAATAGACTTTACAGGTACAATACCAAACCCCAGGTTTTCACTGAACTAGTTCACATTTTTGTTTAGGGTCCAGCTGAAGCCCGCCTCTGGGTGCGGGATTTTATTGCTGTGTTGAAGACACATTGGTGGCCTTCAGCTGTTTTTCTGCTCTTTGGTCGGGTTGTTGTCTCTTTGACATATTCCTCATTTCCATTCTCAATTTTATTCATGACAAAAATCTCTATTTTGATGATCTTGTATTACTGATCTTTTAGTCTGTTTAGTTTCTCTCTATCGTCTTTAATTTTTGCTCAAAACACAAAAGAGGGTAAAAAAAATCCTCATTTAAGGGCAATCACTCCTATGAAGAGGGAGTCTACTATATAGGCAAAATTTTGCCTCTTTAATAGATCTTGCCTTGCTGATCATTTTTGTGATTTAAAGTGTCTATTTATCTATTATGATTTAAATCATATAAGGCATAACAGAAAAAAAATGTTTCTCTCTAAATAATATAGTTTTCATGATAATAGACAACAAGAGGCTGTCAGAGTGACAGCAAACCAGATTTTCCTGCAGAGGTCGAACCCTGAACAGTTGAGCAAGTATGGACACTACATTTAAGCTTAAAACAGCTCTGAATTTGGATTGTGATTGAATATTTGACACAGCATAGGTTTGTGACACAAAATGAATGTGGTCAAAGAACTGAAATATTTGAAATTGGACATTTACCTATTATGGTCCAATATCCAAAATCTAAGTACATATAAGAATCAGCATATCAAAGAACCCCAAGAATTCAATTTTTGATGAAATCAGACAAAAGTTTAATTTAGGACCCTTTGGACCTCAATTTGGACCAATTTGATAAAGGAGCCTCAATCCAAAATCTCTTAATACATGGTTAGATTCAGCATTTCAAAGAACCCCATAAATTCAATTTTTGTTGAATCAAACAAAGTTTAATTTTGGACCCTGATTTGGACCAACTTGAAAACTGGGCCCAAAAATCTAATATTTAAATACAGGTTTAGATTCAGCATTTGAAAGAACCCTATATATATTTAATTTATGTTGAAATGAAACACAGGTTAATTTTATCCATAATATTTTCTGTGCAATGGGAAATAACTCAAATGGGATAAATAGTTCTCTAAAATAAGATATGATGCAATTTTTCAAATTATAATCAATAATATAATAACAACAACCAGTGATGACTAAGTTCTCTAAAATTAGATATGATTTAACACTCAAACATTGTTAGAATCAGCACATTAAAGAACCAAAGAATTCAATTTTAGATGAAATTAAACAAAAGTTTAATTTAGGACCCTTTGGACCTCAATGTGGTATTATCTTATTAATAATGAAAAGAGATACTGGTTTAGATTAAGCATTTCAAAGAACCCTATATATATATTCAATTTATGTTGAAATCAAACACAGTTTAATTTTGGACCCCGATTTGGACCAACTTGAAAACTGGTCCCAAAATCAGAAATCTAAATATATGTTTATTAATGGACAATATAAGCTTAGTTTTTAAAGGAGTTCACTTGATCAAAAAAAAATATATAACATTCAGAAAATTAATTTTTACAGAATAACAAACAAACTTGACACATAATTCTTCAAACAATTTACCAAATAAAAGAAGAAAAAAATCCAAAATCTCATTTATCATTAATACAATGTCTTTTCAAAATCTATAAAACTTATCAGTAACAAGAAATAATTGTAACAGGATGCTGTTACGAAGTCTCCCAAACAAAGCTCTAATAATTCGTCATTCCCATGGTCGCCTGACATTGGGCAAAGTCTAGTACAAATTGGTTTGTGATATGCATAAGTGACGCCTATGGATTGACCCGGTATGTCATTCAAATCTTCTTGAAATGACGAACAGGAATATATATGGTTTAGGGGTGGAGATCTCTACCGTTTACAAGTTCTCAAAAGGGAGGGGGGTAGGGGGGGTGATCCCCAGGGGACTCGCCTTTATTTCATATGATTTGTTTTTTGTCCCATACAAGAATATATATGGTTTAGGGGTGGGGATCTCGACCGTTTACAAGTTCTTAAACAGGAGGGGGTGGGGTGACCCCAGGGGCCTCGCCTTTATTTCATATGATTTGTTTTTTGTCCCATACAAGAATATATATGGTTTAGGGGTGGGGATCTCGACCGTTTACAAGTTCTTAAACTTGAGGGGGTGGGGTGATCCCAGGGGCCTCGCCTTTTATTTCATTTGATTTGTTTTATTGTCCCATACAAGAATATATATGGTTTTGGGATGGGGATCTTGACCGTTTACAAGTTTTCAAAAAGAAGGGGGGTGGGGGTTACCCCAGGGGACTTCCTCTAATTTTCATTTGATTTGTTTTATTGTCCCATACAAGAATATATATGGTTTAGGGCTGGGGATTTCTACCGTTTACAAGTTTTCAAAAAGAAAGGGGGTGGGGATTACCCCTGTGGACTTCCCCTATATTTCATTTGATTTGTTTTATTGTCCCATACAAGAATATATATGGTTTCGGGGTGGGGATCTTGACCGTTTACAAGTTCTCAAACAGGAGGGGGTGGGGGTGACCCCAGGAGACTCGCCTTTTATTTCATTTGATTTGTTTTATTGTCTCATACAAGAATATATATGGTTTCAGGGTGGGGATCTTGACCGTTTACAAGATAAAAGCACATTCTCAAATTGAAGGGGGGTTGGGGTAAGAATATATATGGTTTAGGGAGACTCAATTATCTACAAAATGTCTAATAATGAACAGTAAATTTCAAACTTCATTTATACAGTCCTACTAGTAAATTTCAAACTTTATATATACAGTCCTACAGATCTTATCAGGAAACAGAAAGTTTTCAAATAAATCTGTCACTCCAATGATTATCATATGCTAAGATATTTCCCAGATCTAATTTATAATGAAAATCATACTTGCAAATCTGAAGGGCTATTTCCCTTTGAACAGAACTATGGTTTACTCTAACATTACATATATAATAATTAATAATGTAATTAACTTCAAAATGTCTAATAATATAGCTTATAATCATCACCACTTAGGAAATAGAAAATTTTCAAATAAATCTGTCACTCCAATTTTTATTGTGAGATAAGACATTTACCATATATGTGCTTAGTCATAATATGATAACAAGAGAAAAATATTCTAAAATACCACTTTTGGATATTAAAAATGGCGATAACTCAAAAAGGAGAAATACTCATAAAAATCGTGAAAATTTCACGTAAAATTCGTTGTTTAAGGGCAATAACTCCTATAAGAATTTGTCTGACAGTTTTGATGTCAATAGACACTAGATAGATATCATCATTTAACATTTTTGCCTTGTCAGATTTTCTCTATCTTTAACAGTTTTCAAGATAATAGCCAAACCTAACATTTACCTCTATGTTCAATTTTAGCCACGTCAGCCATGTTGGTCTGCAGGCGGGGTCATCAGGCACATTATTTAAACTAGATACCCTAATGATGATTGTGGCCAAGTTTGGTTCCAATTGGCCTCATAGTTTTAGAGGAGGAGATTTTTTGTAAAAGTTAACGGACGCCAACGGACAATGATGAGGGAGGAAGGACGTCAAGTGATGAGAAAAGCTCACTTGGCACTTTGGGCCAAATGAGCTATTAATTTATCGTAATGCCAACATTTAACAGTTTATCTTCCATGTAAATATAAACATCAATCCTTACTCCTTTTATATGGTCTTTACATGATAAAAATGGTTTGTTAGTAGTTTAAATATTGCATTATCCTGCCATTTAGTAACATTGTAAAATCCATAGTTGGAATTTCAGTAATTTTAAAGATAATTGAAGACTCGAGCTTACCCTTTGACTCCTTTTTCTAAAAATATGATCTTTATAGCATGTGGTATACTGCCAGATGCAAGTGCACTATTTTTCTGAAAAAAAAAACCATTAAAGCATGTTTGAAAAGGGTGAAGGTTTGGTACCATTAAAACGTTTAATCCCACTGCAAATGTTTGCACCTGTCCTAAGTCAGGAATCTGATTACAGTAGTTGTCGTCTGTTTATGTAGTTCATATGTGTTTCTCGTTTCTCGATTTTATATAGATTAGACCGTTGGTTTTCCCGTTTGAATGGTTTTACACTAGTTCTTTTTTTGGGCCCTTTATAGCTTGCTGTTCGGTGTGAGCCAATGCTCCGTGTTGAAGGCTGTATCTTGACCTATAATGGTTTACTTTTATAAATTGTAACTTGGATAGAGAGTTGTCTCATTGGCACTCATACCACATCTTCCTATATCTATTAACAACAAAATTATTTTCATTTACCTGTGTATAATATGACGCAGGTTTCTTCAAAAGTTATGATTTTCTAAAAATTATTCGACATTTCACAGTGATTTCATACTTTAACTTTGTTTAAACCTGTTTATTTACTTTTGAATTATTTTTCCCTTGTAATTTTTTATAAACTGTGTATTTGCATTCAGGTGTCACAGGTCAAATTTATTTGTTCATTGTGTGTTAATTCACGTTTTTTGATTGCGTTAAGCCTTCCAATTGATATTTTATAGTGTGTTTTTCTATGTTGTGATGTTATACTATTGTTTCAGAAAAGGGAGAAGGTTTGGTACCATTAAAACGTTTAAACCCGCTGCATTTGTTTGCACCTGTCCTAATTCAGGAATCTGATGTTCAGTAGTTGTCGTTTGTTGATGTGGTTCATAAGTGTTTCTCGTTTCTCGTTTTTTATATAGATTAGACCGTTGGTTTTCCCGTTTGAAAGGTTTTACACTAGTAATTTTTTGGGGCCCTTTATAGCTTACTGTTCGGTGTGAGCCAAGGCTCCGTGTTGAAGACCGTACTGTGACCTATAATGGTTTACTTTTATAAATTTTGACTTGGATGGAGAGTTGTCTCATTGGCACTCATACCACATCTTCTTATATCTATTGATAATAAAATGCTCCGCAGGGCGCAGCTTGATACGACCGCAGAGGTCGAACCCTGAACAGTTGGGGCAAGTATGGACACAACATTCAAGCTTGATATAGCTCTGAATTTGGATTGTGATTAAATATTTGACACAGCATAGTTTCTGACACAGAATGAATGTGGTCTAAGAACTTAAAAATTTTAAATTGGACATTCACCTATTATGGTCCAATATCCAAAATCTAAATACATGGTTAGATTCAGCATATCAAAGAACCCCAAGAATTCAATTTTTGATGAAATCAAAGAAAGTTTAATTTTGGACCCTTTTGACCTCAATGTGGACAAAGTTGATAACGGGGCCCAAAAATCAAAAATCTAAATACATGGTTAGATTCAGCATATCAAAGAACCCCATATATTCAATTTTTGTTGAAATCAAACAAAGTTTAATTTTGGACCCGATTTGGACCAACTTGAAAACTGGGCCCATAATCAAAAATCTAAATACATGTTTAGATTCAGCATATCAAAGAACCCTAAGAATTCAATTTTTGTTCAAATCAAACTAAGTTTAATTTTGGACCCTTTGGACCTTAATGTAGACCAATTTGAAAACGGAACCAAAAATTAAGAATCTAAATACACGGTTAGATTCGGCATATCAAAGAACCCCATTAATTCAATTTTTGATGAAATCAATTACAGCCTTTCCTTTGTGATATGGAACCTTGTGGTACAATGTCAGAGAGATCCATACACTTACACACAAGTTATTGTCTGGAAGTTACAAAAATGCTTATTTTTGGCCCCTTTTTCCTTAACTGTTGGTACCATAACCCCCAAAATCAATCCCAACCTTCCTTTCGTAGTATTGAACCTTATGGTAAAATTTCATGGAGATCCATTCACTTAAACTAAAGTTAGAGTGCGAAAACCAATGTGTCTTCGGACGACGCCGGACGACGCCAGACGACGCCGACGACGACGACGAAGACGCCAACGTCATACCAATATATGCGGTCGTATAAAAACAGGTCACCTGGATTAAATATTTAAGGTTAAATTTGAGTTAATACAGAATGCAGTAGTATTGCAAAAAGGTTTTCGACAACATGAAATTTGAGGGTATTCGAATATTGATGAATCATTTACCTCCAGAGTCTTCCTTTGGTACTTTAAGTGATGTACATCTGTGTATGATTTTAATGAATATTTGTATTTCTATGCTTTATTTCATGTGCTATTATTTATACGCAATTAATATATCATTATCATATTTTGGCACACTGTATTGATTCAATATGCCAAAGCCAACCTGTACAAATGTGTTTCAAACTAATAACAACTTATTGAAAATTTCATTTATTTATTATCATCATCATTGAACAAACCTGCAACAAACAAGCTGAAATGTCTCGCCAACTATGCTGACCATTGATTTTATGTTGATAGTCCTACATATAGTCCTACATATAAACTTTTACTACAAGTATCACACTAACATTTATGATCCAAGAAAATGAGGTCAAAGTCAGATAAACAAAGCCGGAAATAGATGTACACCTTTAATACAATCATTCCATACACAGAATATAGATGACCTATTGCTTATAGTATAAAAGAAACAGATCAAACCATGGAAATTCAATACTGACCAATGAACCGTGAAAATGAAGTCAAGGTCAGATGAACCCTGTCAGACAGACATGTAGACCTTAAAATCATTCCATGCAACAAATATAGTTGACCTATTGCTTATAGTATCTAAGAAACAGAGTTTAAACTAAGAAAACTGAACATTGACCAATGAACCATGAAAATGAGGTACCCGGTAAATAAAATTGAGAATGGAAATGGGAAACATGTCAAAGAGACAACAACCCGACTAAAGAGCAGACAACAGCCGAAGGCCACCAATTGGTCTTCAACGCAGCGAGAAAATCCCGCACCCGGAGGTGGTCCTCAGCTGGCCCCTAAATAATTTTGTGTACTAGTTCAGTGAAAATGGACGTCACACTAAACTCCAAAACATATAAATGAACTAAAATTAAAAAACATACAAGACTAACAAAGGCCAGAGGCTCCTGACTTGGGACAGGCGCAAAAATGCGGCTGGGTTAAACATGTTTTGTGAGATCTCAACCCTCCCCCTATACCTTTAGCCAATGTAGAATAAAGAAACACATAGCAATACGCACAGTAAAACTCAGTTTAAAAGAAGTCTGAGTCAGATGTCAGAATAGGTAACAAAAGAAACTAAGCAAAATGACAATGATACATAAATGAACAAAGGACTACTAGCAGTTACTGACATGCCAGCTCCAGACCTCAATTAAACTGATTGAAAGATCATGTCTTCATCATATGAAAATCAAGTACAATCCCTCCCGTTAGGCGTTTAGTATCATACCATCATAAAATATATGGGAAGAACATAACCCGTATCATGCCAACAACAGGTTTTAGAATAAATGTGTTTATTTCCACTGCAAAGACCCTATGAGTGAATCAATATTAATACCAAAATATGCAATCTTTAATGACTTGACAACAGTATCGTAACTATATCCTTTCCGAATAAGTCTGTTTAAAGGTTTGGTTAGCTTTTGAGGTGAATGCCGACATTTTTGTGCTTTGTAAAGAATATTACCATAAAATATTGGATGTGAAATAGGCGAGTGACTTTAACCATAAAATTAAATTTTTAATGCACCCACCTAACACACGGCTAAATTATATATCATTTGAAAGCTACACATCTGTACTATCTGTTTTGCCCGGTCGTAAAAAAATCGTACGGTGCAATTTCCGTCAAATCAAGATCAAAGGCCATAGACGAATAAGTGCATATTTTCTAAGATTTCAGCTTGATTGCATAATATGACTTTTATATACTAAATTCACATATGCAAACCATTTAAACTTTTAGCAGAGAGATTAACGGTCATTAATCAAATGCATTTTAAAATATTTAAAACGTGTTTTTGATAGACAGCACATGTTTCCTGAAATTCGAGTAAAAGTTAACAAAATGTGTGAAAACCCAATTTTTTCTTTCTGATGCAACTGCTAATCACTTAAAACTAAGTAAAACCTTGTTATAACTATCAAAGAAGTTTTTGACATCATAAATTTCCTAAAATTATGCTTACTTTTAATCAAACAGCAAATCATAACAACTCATGCAGTTGCCCAAAATACCGCCATCTGCGAAAAAACAGCTTTCAAGCATTTCTTCCTATTTAAACATTGTATGTGGTCAATATAAGATTTAATAAACAAATTCTTAAGAATCTGAAAAATTTAAAGTAAAAAAATATGTGTGCGAATCATACTATTGCTTAAAATAAAGGGGGTGAAACTAAGAGATTTCAATCTGCATTGTAACTACCAGACTGAAATAAACATCTTTTGACTTTTCTAATTGTTTGATTTGTAGCTTCATTATAAATATTGATGTAGTGAAAAGACCTTTTATTTATTTAATGTGAACCATAAAAAATAAATTGAAAATTAAGACATAAATAAATAAAAAATAAATTGATGAAAATTGAAATTTAAAAGAATTTAAAAACCAGTAAACACATTATAAAACTTGACTTCTTGATTGCTTAAATTGCGTTGTTCATTGTTTAAATGCATTAATTCATCAAATAAAAATAATTTTAAAGAAAAAAATCCATTAATACGCAACGATTCTAGTTACAACTAGACTTTCTGAATAGCTTGAATGACTAGTTCATTTTTCATACGAGGATGACTTCATGCAAGAGCTTCTGATGACGACTGAAAAGAAGCTACCATTATCTTGAAACTTCACTTTCCACTATATAGATGATGTCATCTTGCTGAATAGTGCCAAATTTGTCACAATGTTGGACTCGTATTTTCCATTGAAATTAAAAAAGAAGACTCAACAAATATAGTTTACTCTACCACTTGTCTGGAAATCGACGATGAGGGTTGGTTGAGAACAAGTTTTACGACAAAAGAGATGA